TCGTTTCCAAAGACATAAAGTAACTCACTGGAAGTTAAACGGCTTGTCCACATCCAGGGCTAGAACCTAGGTCCACAGAACTCCAAATCCCGCCTGCCTTCATTGAGCCACAGGACAAATTTGATTCGTCCTTGATGGGTCACAAAACAAATTTCTTGAAATGGTTCAGGGGGAAGGAACAAAATGCTAAAAATCCTATCGTATTCAGAACATATAAACAACAACAACAAAAAAAACCCCTCCAATCTGCTTCAAGATGGTAGCCTGAGCCTGCCTTCCGAAAGTCTCAGTGAAGTTACAGAAAAGGTACACAACCGGGAATAAATCCATTAACAACGTAAAGAACAAGACTAGAGATGACCATGACTTTCCAAAATTCAGAAAGTGAGTGGATGCATGGATGGATAAGCCAGGGTGGAGGAAACTGCAGATCAGAAGGGGCACCAGGGGAGACAGGCAGAGGTGGGACATTCCACCCGGCCCAGTGCCAGGGAGGTGCCAGGCACAGGCAGGCAGGTAAGGGTTGGCTGCACAGGCTGGGCAGCAACAATGAGCATATTTAACCTCAACAAGCAGGCTGCTTCCACTCTGGGACCTGCAGGGTGCCCTTTGATTTTAGGGTGAACACCGTGTAGCAAAGAATGTAACCTTATCCAAAGAGAGGTCTGGGCTTTGCCCTCAGCTACGGGGAGGCCATCCCCAAGCCCGAAAAGTTCTGAGGAAAAATGACTCTTAATTGAAGATCCTGTGCTCAGCCAAACTCCGTTGAAAAATTGCTTGAGATTAAGCGGAAACAAGACAAAAAGACACTGGAAAGAAATCTCAACAGCGCTGAAAAGCAGTCGGTGCAAGTTATGCCATCTCACAGGGGATGAGCAAGAGCCTGAGAATAGTTTTTCTATTGCTTTTCAGAGAAAGTGGAAGGGAGGTAGAGGATTGAAGATCCTGTGCTCAGCCAAACTCCGTTGAAAAATTGCTTGAGATTAAGCGGAAACAAGACAAAAAGACACTGGAAAGAAATCTCAACAGCGCTGAAAAGCAGTCGGTGCAAGTTATGCCATCTCACAGGGGATGAGCAAGAGCCTGAGAATAGTTTTTCTATTGCTTTTCAGAGAAAGTGGAAGGGAGGTAGGGGGTGAGGGGGAGAGGGAAGAGAGAGAGAAAGAGAGAGAGAGAGAGAAACATTGATGTGAAAGAGACACATCAACCAACTGGTTGCCTTCCCCACATGCTCCGACAGGGGGTAGGGAGCGAACTCACCAGCCAGGTACGTGCCCTTGACTAGGAATCAAACCCACAATCCTCTGGTGCATGGGCTGATGCTCTGACCACTGTGCAACACTGGCCAGGGCCACATTCACATCTTGATGTTGGTCATCTTTTTGCTCATGATAGGTAAATATGATGTTAAACTTGGCAAGTTTCTAGATTCGGTGTCATTGGCATCAGGGCTAACAGTAGGGATACCAAAAACCCCAGTAATCAAGATAAATAGTTTAAAGCAATATTTTTAAAAGTAGAAAATAACACAAAAATCCATGATGAACCGAAATGTCCACATTTTCAATAAAGACCGGATCAAGATGACTGATTTATCCTTTTGCTCCAATTTGGCTTAGCTCCATGCTGACTGGCAGGCAGGACCCCAAAATCCAGGTGTTTGTGAGTCTCACGCTGCCAGGTACTGTCATCCCACCTTGGGAATGACATTCTTGTGGCAAATAAAATCATTTTCCTTCCCCGACCTCGTCTCACGTTGAGAACTTTCCTGCGATTGTAAGATTTATAAAGCAAGTCTCTGTCTCCGTTGGAAAGCCACTAGTTTGCATTTATTGGGGGTGCTGATACAGGCCAGGTTGGGAACCGTAACCATGGGCCTACAATTCTCTTAAGTGATACCCACCCAGATTCAAATGCCATAGGAAACGGAATTAGTTTGTTCTGGTAAAAACACAGAAATCTCACCCCGCTCCTTATTTCTTCCCCGATGATTAAGGAGTGTCCTTCCTAGAAATGACCTACCTAACGATTAGCATTCCCTCAGCTGGGATTTCCACTCTAGGAAATAACCTGAGCTGTAAAATAGCCCTATCTCCCACCACCATTCCAGGAACTCCTGGCAAACATTCAGTGACTCACCGCGCTTTAAAAAAGATGTTCAAACCTCGAACCTGATGACTCTGTGTCCTCCCAGAGTAATAAAGCATAAAGACAGGACCATTTACCCAGAACTTCCTTGAGCGCTAGGCCGGTGCTATGCCCTCTCATGTGCTATGCCTTCCCACGCATTAGCAACTGAACCCTCAAGCAACTTTATGGAAAGGATTTACTACCCCCACTTTATAATGATTACAATGAGGCCCAGAGAGGTTAAGCCATTTGTCCAAAGTCACAAGGCTTAAACAGAGGCAGAATGGGATTCCAATCCCTGCCTCTCTGAACGGTGATCATCACCATCAATAGCTTGGTTATCAGAGGAAGAAAAGGAGTATGAGGAGAAGAGGAGGAGTTAAAGGGAAAATGTATCGAGTGCTTACAGTGCACCATATTTTCTTATTAGCTCTAATATCCACCTGTGCAAGTGGGTGCTCTGAGCATACTGCCCATTCTGCAGACAAGCAAACTGAGGCCAGAAAAATACAGTAACTCACAGTTAGGACTCAGGGAAGTCCAGATTCTGATTCAGGCAGACAGCTGTAGAGCTTTCTCTTCAAGCCAACACACGCTCCTTTGCCTGCGACTTCCCCACAGTCATTCTTTCCTCTAACAAATATTTATCGTGCATTTTTCTGTTCCTGGCATCTGGTGATTAGCTACAGGACAGCCCCCATTTTTGCTCTCCTTCCATGACACATTCACACGGGCTCCCCATCATTTCTGTGTCTCCCCCCGCAAAGTACCCTCTCTTACCTGTGGGAACACGCAGGCATTTCCTCTCCACTCTGCAGAGGTAGTGGGTCCTCTTTTATTACTGAGTTAGTCTTATTCTGCCTTAAACACAGCCCTGTTTAATCTTAGTCACGTGGCTGGGCTCCCAGGGAGGGGACGTTTACGAGCTCCTGACCATTTTATGCCACCCTGGTTATCATGTCTCCCTTTGCCGGCCAATGAATAACTGGGTCTCACCCATTAAACGCAGGTCAGTCCTCGACCCCCAACATCATGGCTGCTCCATGGCCTCTGTGTCTCGGGTTAGAGGAGAAGAAGCCCTAGCTCAGGGACCAAATTGTGCATTTCTTTCTTCCTGAACTTCTCATGAATATTCTTTGGCATCAGTGCAGTAAGAGAACAAAGTCCTTTCTAGAAAATACTTTTATTTCTTGGATACCATAAGGAAGTAAGTCATATTGTGGGGTGTGTGTTTTCTTTTTCCCCACAGGGAGGGAGGTGGAGTGGAAAGAGACTATCCTTCTATTTATTCACTAAAGCATTTTTTCTAGAACATGATGCTCCACAAGACACCCTCAGGCACTGGCCAATTTGTTCTGCAGACTTAGCCCCGGGGGCAACATTCAGACCTTACAGGTTTAACTTCACAATTATGATGGCATCCTTTCCAGGAATAAAAGGACAGTCAGCGGCCCTAGCCGGTTCGGCTCAGTGGATAGAGCATCGGCCCGTAGACTGAAGGGTCCCAGGTTTGGTTCTGGTCAAGGGTACATACCCCGGTTGCAGGCTGGATCCCCAGTAAGGGGGTGTGCAGGAGGCAGCCGATCAATGATTCTCTCCCATCATTGATGTTTCTATTTCTCTCTCCTTCTTCCTTCCTCTCTGAAATCAATTAAAAATAAATAAACAAACAAATAAATTGAAAAAAGGACAGGCAGCATGGAACCAGCCACAGTTCAAGGCAGGCTGATTTAATCATATCCTGACTAGCACTTTACGACTATAAAGTATTGTGGCTTATGACACAAAATTCGCCCTACAAACTGTAATTACATGTTTCTTTCTTTGTCTGCAGGTGGAGTGTAAATTGGTGAGTGAGGTAGCTTCTGGAGTGAGAACGAAGAGAGAGATTTTTTTCAATATTTGCCAGCCATCTCTTGGATTTTATACCGTGCAGAGGTGTAACATTCAAAAAATAAATTAAATTTTGGGAAAATTTACTGCTGTGAATCACACACAGTTTGGATAGCATGATCTCGTTTTTTAAGACAAATTTTAAAAATCTATATTAGTATGTCTGGAGGGAGAACTCAAAATATACATGAAAATCAAAACAATGATTATCACCAGAGGATGAAATTGCAGAGCTTCTCACATCCTCTGCAAATATTCTTATAAGACATACATTTGTTTTTCTTTTTATTTATTGATTTGAGAGAGAGAGAGGGGTAGGGATTGAACCCACAATCTTGGTGTATGGAGATGATGCTCTAACCAACTGAGCTACCTGGCCAGGGCTATAGGCATAATCTTTTTTTTTTTTAAATATATTTCTTTATTGATTTCAGAGAGGAAGGGAGAAGGAGAGAGAGATAGAAACATCAATGATGAGAGAGAATCATTGATCGGCTGCCTCCTGCACACCCCCTACTGGGGATCGAGCCTGCAACCCAGGCATGTGCCCTTGGCCAGAATCGAACCTGGGACCCATCGGTCCGCAGGCTGACGCTCTATGCACTGAGCCAAGCCGGCTAGGGCTAGGCATAATCTTTTAAAGTAACTTGTACATGCACAATGTTTTTAATCAGATAATAGAAAAGAACTAGGCTTCCTTGACCTTGGCACCATGTTCTTAGAAACCTTTGCGCCCGTGAGAGCTAAGTGGAGGAAGCAGTGAATGGGCAGGCTGAAGCGCAGAAGAAGAAAGACGAGGCCAAGGTCCAACCATTAGCTTGTGCACCATGGAAATCACTGGGGCAGAAATGAGGGAAGCCAGAGGCCTGGGGCCCTGGTACAAATTATTGGAATGCATGCCTAGTGTCGAGAACTTTCAGCCGATCTACAACATACATCGCCATCTGATCTCGGCAACCACCTTTTGAGAGACCCACCTCGCTCATACAAAACAGTTCCTTTTGGTCCCTTGCCCTGGACCTGTGACATTCTGCACTAGTTCTGTTCTCAGTTGTGGTTGAATGCAATGTGTACAATAAATCATCTCTTCTGTCTCAGCTGAAGAGAAAAGAAAAAAGAAAAAGAACTAGTTCCAAGGTCACTGGGGAACTAAAGTTTTGGAAGTAAAGCAGAGAGCCTGGCCAAGTATCTCAGGTGGTCAGAGCGTAGTCTGGATGCGCGGAGGTTGTGGGTTCAACTACTGGTCAGGGCACATATAAGAATCAGGCAAAAATTGCATAAATAAATGGAACAACAAACCCATCTCTCTCTCTCTCTCTCTCTCTCTCTCTCTCTCTCTCTCTTTCTTTCTCTCTTTCAAAAAAAAAATCAATTTATAAAAACAGAAGAAGAGAGAGAACTTTCTGGCAGCAGATGTTGGGAGCCCCAGACATGGGAAACAGAGATCCTAGACAGGGGCAGACGAAGGAACCTGGGCGTGGGAGGACAGGCATGAATTAAGATGAGGGAAGTGGAATGGGAAACAATGGGCCATTGCGAGAGAAGAAAGGGTAGCGCTTTAGTTAATCCTCACCTGAGGATATTTTTCCCATTGATTTTTAGAGAGAGTAAGAGGGAGCGGGAGACACACACACACACAGAGAATCATCTCTGAAATCAATAAAAATATATTAAAAAGAAATAAACAAATAAATAAATTGAAAAAAGGACAGGCAGCGCGGAACCAGCCACATTTCAAGGCAGAGAGACACATCAATTGGTTGCCTTCCACATGCACCCCGACCAGGGCTGGCGCTCTATCCGCTGAGCCAAGCCAGCTAGGGCAGGATAGCGCTTTTAATGTCTTAATTTCCCTGAGCTGTGCTCAGTTTCCTCAGCTGCAAAGTGAAGACAGTCATAACATATATAAGTGGATAACGTTTACCATTACGTTGTTCTTATCACCATATATATGTTGCTTATACTTAATCCCCACAGCAGCTCTGTTATTGGGTATATCACAATCATCCCATTTTACAGATTTGAAACACAGAGAGGTAGAGTAACTTCGCCCCTAGTCACACAGCTAAAAAGTGGCAGAAGCAGGATTAGAACTCAGGCAGCCTGGCTCTGGAGCCCACGTTCCACAGATCACTAGAGCTGGGGCTTAGCACAATGCCTGGCACAGAGTAAACGGAACAACGTTAACGACTCAAATAATATTACAAGGCTAGGATTCCCTACCCCCACCAAGTGCCCACATCAAAGGACGGAGTTTCCTACACAGAGAGCAAGGTGCCCTTCCCTTCACATGCCAGCTTTACTGTCCCCAGGAACTGCCTTGGCACACTTTAGGGCGCACAAAACTCCAAGGATTTGACAGGTGGGGGATCCCTGGAATGAGACTCTCTAGACGAGAAGGAGTTCCAGGAAAGGGCACTTTATTTAGCCCTCCTCGGAGCGTGTTACCTGCACAGCAGCAGGTCCCAAGCTTCCAATAACATGAGCAACAGTAGCTGCCATGCATCGTGGTCCAGATAGTGTGCTAAATGCTGTCTAGACATGAGTTCAGATGAGCCTTCCAATAACCCTGTGTCCATTCAACAGATGAGGCTCTGAAAGCAACTTGCCAAAGTCCCAGAGCTGGAACTTTTAGAGATGATATCGGAACCCAGATCCAGCTGGAATAACCACTGCATAACTGCCCTTGCCACCTGAATCCTCCTCCCAAAAGCCTCATCTGCTAGCAGAGAATCAACTGAAGCGGAGAGGACTTTGTTCCCTGTTTATACAACAAAAGGGTAGCAGGTTCTCATGACAGCCTCCTTCTACACTGGATGGAGAGCAGGACACCAGGTGACACCCCTCCTTTTGCACTGAGCACTGGGGGGTGGTGGTGGTGGTGGTGGGGAGACTTCTCAGGAATGTTCCAGAGAGCAAACGGGGCCTGGTTCTGTGGATCACACAGAACACAAGAAAGCTCCTTAGTCATCTCCTCCCCCTCCGACCTCCACTCTCCTCCCTGCCTCCTCTAGATGGACACGCCTGCTGTGCCAGCCCCTCTTGGAGTGGGCGGTCAGCATTCACTGTAGCCAGTGTTTATTGAGGGCCTGCTGAGTGCCAGCACTGTGCTGAGTGCTAATACAGAAAAACACACACCATCGTCCCCATTTTACACATAAGGAAACCGAGGAACAAAAGAGTTAAATAACTTGTCACATTTCACCCTACCCGGATGTGAAGGAACCTGGATTGGACATCAAGTCTCTACAGACTTTATGATCAAACAGACCTGGGTTCAAATGTTGACTCCTCTACCAACCACCTGTGTGACATCCTGCAAGTTACCTAACCTCTCTGAACCTCAGTCTCCTCATCAGTAACATGGAACTAATAGGGATTATTGATACATGGCAATTATATGTGTTCCTTAGTCATTCAGCAAGTACTCATGGAGCATTTACTATGTGCCAGGCATTGGGGAAGTAACTGCAAACAAAACAGAAGAAAAATAAATCCTGCCTTTGTGGCATGCACATTCTAGGACGGAGGCATTTATGGTATGTATTAGCTCTGCTAATCCTTATAATAACCCATAGGTTAGCCAGGGGTGGGCAAACTTTTTGACTCAAGGGCCACAATGGGTTCTTAAACTGGACCGGAGGGCCGGAACAAAAGCATGGATGGAGTGTTTGTGTGAACTAATATAAATTCAAAGTAAACATCATTACATAAAAGGGTACGGTCTTTTTTTTTTTAGTTTTATTCATTTCAAACGGGCCACGGCTGGGTTAGGCACTGTTTTTGTACCCATTTCACAGATAGAGAGGAGTCTCAGAATCAGTTTACTGTCCCCTCCCCCAGTCCTTCTAGGAAGTAGTAGGACTTGGACTAGACCTTACTGTTGGCTCTGGAGTTCGACTTCCTGGGTTCAAATCCTGTTGTTTCCATCTAATTGTTGTGGACAAGTTACTGAACCTGTCTGAACCTGAATCTCCTCATGGGTAAAATGGGACCAGGAGACCCGATCTCAGTTTATCCAAGGGAAATAACATCTAACATTTAGGAAGTGCTTCCTGGGTTCCCAGCACACAGAGACTCACAGAAATCCTAGGAGAGAACGTCCTATTTTTAGCCTTAAAACACCCGCACACGAGAAACCACAAAGATGGAAACTGGAGCCCAGAGAGGGTAAGTAATTTGCCCAGAGGCGCACAGCACACAGTCAGTGCGATTCCACAGCCGCGCAGAGAAAAGCCAACCTGGTCCGGTCCGGTGCGATTATTCTTTCCTTCCTGAAGCTGCTGGGCAAACTGAATGGGGCGACCGATTGCTTGCCCTCCTCTGAAACCTGGCTAATGCAGAAGGTCGACGCGCAGCGGGAGCCGATCCATCCCTACTCCCGGATTCCCGCTCCCAGGTGGTTCTCCCTCTATTTCTCTTACCCCA